TTTTTTCTATTTTTTTTTAAACAAAATAAATAATAATAAGATTAATAAGTGGACCAAAAAATGTGATAGTTTAACCACTTCGCAGTAAAAAAAAATAATTTATTTATTTATAAATTTATTTTTGTGAAAATGACAGAATTTTTAATACCACATAAAATAAAGAAGCAAAAATTTTAAAGCGCTTTAAATTTACGTTTAAAGTGATTATAATAAGCACAAAATCGCAAAAATTTATTAAAATTGACAGTCGGGCTACAATTTTTGACAAGCTGTCACGTCATAAGTGACACCAACTCAAAAAGTTGAAGTTCGCACCTTACCTAAAACAATTTTTTTCTTATTTTTTTTTTAAAGAAACAAATAAATAATAATAAGATTAATAAGTGACCAAAAAATTTGATAGTTTAACCATTTTGCAGGAATAAAAAAATTATTTATTTATTTATAAATTTATTTTTGTGAAAATGACAAAATTTTTAATACCACACAAAACAAATAAGCAAAAATTTTAAAGTGCATTTAAATTTACTTTTGAAGTCATTATAATAACCACAAAAACGCAAAAATTTATTAAAATTGACAGTTGGGCTACAATTTTTGACAAGCTGACACGTCATAAATGACACCAACTCAAAGAGTTGAAGTACGAACCCTGTCTAAAACAATTTTTTTCTTATTTTATTTAAGAAACCAAATAAATAATAATGGGATAAAATTTATTAAAATTGACAGATGGGGAAAAAAATTTGACAGCTGTCACGTCATAAAATCACACCAATACAAAAAGTTGAAGACCAAAACAATTTTTTTCCTCATATTGCTCAAAACAAAACAAAAGAAATAACAAAAAGTCAAAAAAATAGGACTTTGTTTAACTATTTATTAGTGATAATAAGAAAAATTAAAAAAAAAAGTAAAAACTCATGTAAATTATCACAGAAAACCGTGGTACTTACATGATAATCATTGTAAACATCAAATAACATCTCATTTTAAAATATTTTGACAGGTTTGACAGAATAATTCAACTTGCTTAGAACGATATCTTAATTTTTATAAAATATTTTTTTGACATTTAGGTAACATACGAACTGACATGTGACATACGTTTTCAACTAGTAAGCCTACTTGATTAAAGAATATTTTGCTTGCACTGTACTAAAAATAACAATTAATTTGACTYATTTTTTAATTGAAATAATTGTAAGAAAAAAATCATAAATTGCGATACRAATAATAATAAATAAAAGTTTTTTGTGTAATAAGGTAATAAAGTTAAACATTTTATTACAAACGTAGCCACGTGGGTGTAGAAAACAATTATAGTGTTAATTACAATTTTTTAAATCATTATTTTTTTTTTGTTATGCAACAAATAATACACGCGTGCACATTTTAGTCTATACTGTTCATTTTATTGTCGCTTTTGAAGCATTATTCAAATATGAATTATAAAAAGTACTCTCTTACAGACTATTTTGAGTTAATTTACAAATTATAATAACACTTTTTCAGACAATTAAAGAAAATATTTTGAACATTGTCTCAGCCATTTTAGACGAGTCGATTGAAAAGCACAAAAGCAAGTAAAGGTTTAGTAAAAACCTTTAATTTTAATTCAAAATTCACTATTTTTAAAATAAACAAATAAAACAGTTTAATTTTGTTTGGCGCTTGTTGAACCGGGCGTTTGCGAGACCTCGACACGCCAACCCATTTTCTAGGGACTTTCTTTGTCTTTGTTGGCACTCAAACGTCATCGCATGATGTCATTTTTTTCTCTTTTATGTCTTGGAAAATTTTTATGTGACGATATCTGTTCATAGGTAAAGAGCTTAGAAACTTCAAATCAAGTAAATGATAACCTTGTAAACCACTAATTTATGGCACTTATGAACAAACTCGACCAATTTTAAGAAAAATCACAAAACCATCATTGAAAAAACAGCAAAAGTAAAATGCACGTTTTCCTCAGACCGCACATAGTGAAAGGCCCCTACAGTCTTATCAGAGGCAAGTATTAACCTTCACTGTATTGTCAATTATGTAACGAGTTTTTAGGTTTTCACGATGCCTCAAAAGTCGCAATTAAATGCGTGTGTGGGAACGATAGGTTATATAAACACAATATTAACGAATCGAGATATCTACTAGTGGGGAACCCCACTTACACAATTCAGCCCCAAATTAGGAGTTTCTCCTTGTCGGCGATTCAGTTCGAGAAGGAGCCCCTGAAACCGTCCTCCAAAGTCGAGGTCACGGTCCAAGAATTGAAGAAGAAGAAGGAGACTGTGATCCCGRCCGAAGTCGCCCCAAAACCACTCGTCAAAAAGAGTATAAGACAGAAAATCGTGGATGAAATTGTCCACTACTACCACGGGTTTAGACTCCTTTTCATCGACATGAAAATCTCAACAGTGCTAGTYTGGAGGGTRCTTAATGGTAAAACCTTGAGTCGACGCGAGTATCGACTTTTGATGCGCACCGTSGGAGACATGTTCCGTCTAGTCCCCTTTTCGGTCTTTATTATTGTCCCCTTCATGGAACTGCTCCTCCCAGTCTTTATCAAATTCTTCCCTGGATTGCTCCCCTCGACCTTCCAGACGAAAACCGACAAGGAGAATAAAATCAAGCAAAACTTGAAAATCAAAATCGAAATGACGAAATTCCTGCAGGAGACTCTCGACGACATGGCGTTGCAACACAAGGACCACAAATCCGACAATGCGAAGGAGTTCGCCGAATGGTTCCAGAAGGTCCGAACTTCGGGAGAACTCGTCTCCAATGAGGAAATCATGAAGTTCTCCAAGCTTTTCGAGGATGAAATCACCCTGGATTCCCTCTCCCGGAGCCAACTCATCGCTTTGTGTCGCGTCCTTGAGGTGCAAACCTTAGGCACGAACAACTTCCTCCGGTTCCAACTCCGGATGAAACTCCGGAGTTTGGCCGCTGATGATAAGATGATCCAGAAGGAGGGAGTGGAGTCGTTGACTTTGGGGGAAGTCCAACAGGCGTGTCGGGCGCGCGGGATGCGGGCATACGGGGTGTCCGAGGAGCGACTCCGGGCTCAATTGAGACAATGGCTCGATTTGAGTTTGAATGAGAAGGTCCCACCCTCGTTGTTGCTGTTATCCCGGGCCATGATGCTTCCTGAGACGATCCCAACTAGTGATAAACTCAAAGCGACGATTTCGGCCCTCCCGGAGACGGTGGTCACACATACCAAGGCTGCGATTGGGGAGAAAGAGGGCAAGATTGATAATAAGGTCAAGTTGGAGGTGTTGAAGGAGGAGGAACGGAAAGTGAAGGAGGAACGCGAGGAGCGTCGGGAGGAGAAGAAGAAGTTGGAGTTGGAGAAACAGAAGGAGTTGTTGGTGGATAAAGCGCCGGTGATTTCGGCCTCCTCGACCCCAATTCTTGAAGATACTGCCACGAGGATAAGTGTCGAAAAGCTGGAAAAAGTCGAGAAGAAGGAGAAGAAAGAGGAACAGTTGTTGTCCAAAGATGTTGAGGTGCTTGAAGATGCCATTGATACCGTTTCCAAAGACAAGAAATTCCTCGGGGAGATTAAGGAATTGAAGGAACAGATGGCCGACTATAAGGAGGATGTCGAGGATTTGCATAAGACAGTCGCGGAGCAGCCCAAACCGGAAATCCGGGAGACCAAAGCCGCCCGAAGATTATTCAAAAGTGTCAACAAGATGATCAGTAACCTTGACACAGTCTTGGTTGAGTTGCAACAAAAGGAACAACAACTGAAGAAAGACCTCGAAATTGAAGCAACTGACAAGACCAAAGAAGAATTGCTCAAAATTGATGACATTATCGACGCGATAAAGCACATTAAAGGTGTGTCGGATGAGTCCAGAGTCGACCAAATTGTCAAAGTCTTGAAGAAAATGGACGATGACCATGATGGGTCAATCAAAGTCGAAGACGTACTAAAAGTGATTGAGATAATTGGTAAAGAGAATGTCAATTTGAGCGATAAACAAGTCGATGAGTTGATGGAATTGCTGGATAAGGAGGAGATTCTCGAAGTCGAGGATAAGATCGAAAAGGCGTTGCAAAAGGACAAAGAAGGGAAAATCGAAGAGGTTGCAGTGAAAGGTGGCGACTCGACACAAAAGCCCAAATTTGAAACCAAACCCAACATCGCACCTCCTGTTAACAGTATTGATAAAACCAAACCGAAAGATAGTTCCAAAATGCTTTAGTTAATTTTGTTACCAGTTATTAAATTATTTTTTAACGCTTAATACGATACCTCTGTATATGGAATAAAAATATTAACGTTGCTAGTTTTATATTTGGCAAAAACAGGAAATTTGTTAATAAAAAGCCATCAAATGACTTGTTCTTTACCTTTGCACAAGTATGGGGTGAAATAACAGATGATGATAATAAACATTTTCTTATTCAAACCTAGAATCTTACATAATATACATAGTACAAAAAAGTGGCCTCTGTTAGAGGCAAAGGAAACATATTCGTTACTGTACAAAAGACTATTCTACTGTACAATTAATGACTGCGAAAGCAAAATAAATTATAGTAATCTTTTACATGTTGAAACAATTTTTACATATAGAAAAATGAACATTTAAAATAAATGTACAGTCGATACCTACAATAAGAAGTTTTAAGTGGGATAATTGTTATCATCGTTGTAAACAACACAAAGTCGAGATCATTTGGTTCAGCTTTGCCTAAAATAATCGTAATTGGCACTTTGAATGAAATAGCACTTAATTTTTCAGATGCTGCAATGAAGTAACTATAACAAACCCACAAAGAATACTGAATAGCGAGTTTTTCAAAAGTTTTTCGGTAGTTAAAAATACCATTTTTCTCAACAGGCACAGTATACAAGTGACAAAAATAACCACTGGTACTTTGAAACAACATTGATATATAGTCCCTCGGGACGCCAAGTAGTCAACAATTGAGTGTAATAGGCTAATTACAAGTGACCCTCAAGCCACTAGTCACTACTAACAGGAAGATAAACCGTGCATATTCAGCATTTCATCCAACTAAAGTCAATGTACACATATGTACACACAACAGCTCACGTGCATAGGGCATCATGGTTTATACACAGAAAAATTTTTCGTTATCACACAAGAAGTAATTTACAAATTCATAGTCTACTATCACAAATTCAGGCGGTCTCTTCTGTCTGAGACTCAGCCGCTTCTCCCTCACCATTCCTCTCCAACTCATCTTCTTTCTTGCACATGTGCTTGTTCAACACCGCACTGATACACGAAAGCGCGTCTTTCACCGCATGATAAATGATATTTTTTATCTGTAATTTGTCCTCATGGTTCGTATGAGTGTCTGAAAGATCGCGAAACTCTTGAGTTAAATGGAAACAATGCGACACATTCTCCGGCGATACAAAATCCTCTGCTACTTTAATACAATTATGGAGATTCCGCACTTGATGTGGAGCCCCAGCTGGGATAAAAACAGCATCCCCTAGACACTGAACAATCGCATATCCCTCCACCCCATACTCCTTATACAACCGCTCCCTCAACGGCCCATCCAAATAACAACTCTGGTCATGAATCGGGTCATGATGGGGCTCCAATCTCCCTCCCTTCTCCACAACGACTTTATTCAATAAATCGCGGATTTTATCCGCATCTCGCGCATTGTAAATATGCCACAAAGCCCCCGGTAATTCCCCTTTATCACGCACTCTCCGACGTGTCAAAATATCACAACCGGCTTCGTCAATCGCCCGAAACGCCTCCTTGATATGCTCATCACTGTCCCCATCTTTGGGTATCCCCACATACACCATCACATTCACAGCGTCCGATATATCGAGATGTAAGTTCGTTGTGCCCTTAGACGGATGCAAGGCCGATCCGTACGCATTGTACATCTTCGGACCTAAATCCGGACGCACGAAACAATCCGGTAAACGACTCGCGAGATTTAAACGACCAGTCCGGTGTGTATATTCCGATAAAGGTAAAACTTTCATTAAATCACTGAAACGACTTGGGAGCATTTCAGCAAAGTCTTCACCCGGAGGCCAGTCTTTCAGTTTGAGCAACATTGGATTACCTCGATCGTCTTTTAATCGTTTCGAGAAATGATCGAAACCCTCCCAGAATTTTCTCATTGGTTGATTAGGAACCAAATTACCAGTCATACAATTGATTAGGTCGTTTTTTTCATCGCCAAAATCGCGAGCAAAAGCATCAGGATTCCATAAATCCTTATTGAGATTTTTAGTCACATCGGAGACTATCACCGGTTGGCCACGTTTCCATTGATCTTGGAATATCTTATAGTTATCCTTATGCGTGGAATCGCTCAGTCTTAATAATTTACCATCACACAGCCAACTATGAGGGACATCAGGATATAGCATTTTGCTCTCAGTTAGAGTCATTATTCGAATAGGAAGTGGTGCACGACCTTTTGCTTGCCAATTATACCGTCGTAGGAAATGTTTCAATTCGGGTTTAACATCAGAAGTGACTTCGGTCACTTTTGGTACACTATCTTCAATCACACTTGAAATAACCTCATCTAAAGTATCGATTTTATTAACTTTTTTATTGTTTTTTTGTGAAACTGGAGATCCTGCACGACTCCCATTTGGTTTATGCGAAGGTCGTATTAACAATTCCCTCAAAGTGGAAAAACTCCCCTCATCTGAATCACTCGTACTATTATCATCGTTCTTCTTATCTTCATTTGATAACGCAACATCGGCCAACCATGACAAAGGTGAAGTTTTCTCATCTTTTATTACGACTCCATTTGGGGCAACTTTCACATCACCTTCCTCTTTAATCTCCTTTTTAATTCCGTTTACTTTACTCTCGAGGAGGATTTTCTTGACGATTTCCTTATAAGCAACATTGTTTGGTTTTTGTACAACTTCTTTACTCGCTGGACATGCACAATATTGTTCGATGTTCCACAATTCGCGCATTTCGTGGACCTTTTTACCGAGTTGTGATAGTGAATCGCCGGCGATGATCTGAGTCAGCATTAGTTTTTCCTGTTCGTGAGCTTGACGATTCGTGCACAATAACCATGAAAATTCGTCACGATCTTTACCAGGTTCGCCCCACACTTTAATCGAACCGTTTTTGCGACTCTGGAAAAAAAAAAGGAAATTAGAAGAGAGAAAATTTATTTTGGGGTGATTTTTACCTTGTAGCAATCGAGACATACAACAAAGCCGCATTTACCACACGCCCAATGGAAGTTGAATAAAGTGGTCTCGCAAACGTCGCACATCTCGCGGACTCCTTGCACCACGCGCTTCCACGCCACGGTCTTGTCTGCAAAAATAATTTCATTTTCAATACAGAAAGAAAAACTGGATCTCAAATTTGGTAATTTAAATCTACATCAAAACTTAAAAAACCTATTTGAAACGATTGAAAAGCAGGTGTTTATTTGTTTTTTTTTTTTTTAATTTAGTTTTTATTTGGGCTCACGATACAATTTTTTTTTATTTGCTTATTTGTCAACTAAATTTAATACTCAGACATAATTTTTGTCATTTATGCAGTATTAATGTATTTTTGCTTTTTGTCAATTTATGTATGAAAATTACTATAAAAACTAACTGTTTTACTAGCTTGGGTTTAAAGTATCAATGCGAAAATGTTTTATAGAAAAATCATTTTCCTAAGACCTACTAAAAATTTTATGACACATTATAAGAGATTAACCAAACAATGGCTTGAATTTGTAACCCTGCATAAATGGCACGTTCCTTTGCAAATGTTGCTGCACCCACTAGAATGAAACAGGGCCGTATTTAAAACCAAAGTAGTGATAGAGTTTTACCAAGCTATTATTGAAAAAAATCTGCTTTATTTAATAATAATTTGTTAATAACCACCTGGCTTATTTTAATTTCTTAAAATTCTTGACTACATCAAAAACTATTAAAATATTTCAAGTATTTTAGACAAAAAGAAAGTAAATAATCCGGCCCTGTTAAAAACTGACCTGTTTCAGGGTCCGGGTGGGTTCCACTAATTTATGATTTGTTTACCCTCTGGTTTACTCTTAACAATACTGCATTTAACTTAAAAGTAATAAAAATTTTAGTAGGTCTTAGCAAAATGATATTAGTATATTTTATTGTATTGCTAAACACATCAAAACTATTGAAAAACATGTTTTTTTTTTCTGGTTCTTGGTCAACTTTCGTTCTGTGTAATATTTATTTCGTAAAAATAATATTTTCGCGCAACAACTTGTAAATATGTAATTGACTCATTATTTCTCGCCTTTTTCGTCGAAATGGTCAAAAAATCTGTATTCTCTTTACAAAATGACAAAATCAAGATTACTTTACTATGAAAAATTAAAATATGTAGTTTGCTTGTTCATTATGTTTATTTTCAGTGTTAAATTGCAAACTATTTTACATAAGAAAAATACATATATTTAAATAAAATTACCCTAAATATTATTTTATTTTTTATTATCTTCTGGACTTCTTGGTGTCACGAATGAAATAAAAAATTCTAAATACAACATTTTTTTACATGAAGTAAAGATTATTTAAATATTTCCCACTGGTCCCATCTCTAATTTTAAGTAACCAATAGCGGTAATTTATCAAATACCAACCAAACAAAACTAAAGGCTAAATCAAGGACGTCAATCATCTGTTTCATAAAATTTATTTCAGCAATTACACAAAACCAAAAATATACAGTATTCGAGTGAACTCATGAAGAGAAAAATAAATTTGTAAATTTTACAGTAGTATAATTTAACTTTTGTATTATTTTGCAAAAAGTTGAATACGCGAAGAAAAATGTTTTTGTAGTGAACTCTTTGTATCAACTTTTTTTGCACCTAAAATGCAATACATATTTGTTGCGTACAAATAATAAAAGATTTTCATGAGTCGTAAAAAAATTACTAATTCATCACTTCTCGTCTGGGAGTGGGAGTTTTGTTGTTTTTTAATTAACATAGATAATAATTATAAATCATCTATTATAAAAGACAAAATTAACATTAATTGCCTTTGTTTGTTTTTCTGTGCTATATTTACATAAAAATTGCACTATAATTGCACGTATAATGTAATTTTATTCGTTAAAGTTTTATTTTATTGACTTTTTATGGGAATTATACCGATATTTCAAAACGCTGATGAAATTAGTACGTTGTTCATAGATGTGATCCCATCTCTAATATAGTATCCAATGGCGGTAATGTATCAAATACCAACCTGACAAAAACAAGGGCTAATTCAAGGACGCCAATCATTTATTTCACGACTACTTGGCATTAAAATATAAAAAAATCATTCACCGCCAGACATATTCAAAATAACTGGGTCATCAGTTGTCATTTTAAGTAATTTTGTTGTTTTTTAATTAACATCAACAATAATTAACAATATAATTTTAACACAAAATTAAACTTAATTACTTTTGCTTGGTTTTTTTCTGTACTTTATTTTACATAAAAAACACAAATATTTCAATAAAAATTGCACCACGTGTAATGTAATTTTATTCGTAGTTTTGTTTTATTGACTTTTTATAATTAAATCTTGTTGAAATTAGTACGTTTTTCGTACATCACCGGTCCCATCTCTAATTTAGTAACCAATGGCGGTAATTTATTAAATACCAACTCGACAAAAACAAGGGCTAATTCAAGGACACCAATTATTTATTTCCAGACTATTTGATAATGAAATATAAAAAAATCATTCACCGTCAAACATATTCAGAAAGCTCGTTAAAAAACAACCGGCTCATCACTTGTCATTTAACGTAGTTTTGTTGTATAACATCGTTAATAATTAACAATTTTTAAAGACAAAATTAAAATTAATTACTTTTGCTTGTTCATTAATTTTGTTTCTTTTTTCTGTATTTTATTTTACATAAAAAAAACGATTATTTCAATAAAAATTGTACTACGTGTAATGTAATTTTATTCGTTAAAGATATTGACTTTTTATAATAATTATATCGATATTTCAAAACGCTGATGAAATTAGTACATTTTTCGTTCATCTCACCGGTCCCATCTCTAATTTAGTAACCAATAGCGGTAATTTATCAAATACCAACCCCACAAAAACAAGGGCTAATAAAAGGACACCAATCATTTATTTCACGATTGTTTGACAATGAAATATAAAAAATCATTCACCGTCAGACATATTCAGAAAGCTCGTTAAAAAATAACCGGCCTATCACTTGTCATTTTACGTAGTTTTGTTCTTTAACATCGTTAATAATTAATACAATTTTTGAAAACAAAATTAGAATTAATTACTTTAATTTTGTTTCTTTTTTCTGTACTTTATTTTACATAAAAAAACGAATATTTCAATAAAAATTGCACTACGTGTAATGTAATTTTATTGATGTAATTAGTGTACTAGAATTTTTTCCGATATATAAAAAAAGAAGTTGAAATTGGTACGTTTTTCGTTTCTCCCACCGGTCCCATCTCTAAATTAAGTAACCAATGACGTTAATTTATCAAATACCAACCTGACAAAATTCGGGCTAATTCAAGGACGCCAATCATTTATTTCATAACTATTTTGCAATGAAATATAAAAAAATCATCCACCGTCAGATATATTCAAAACGCTCGTCACTTGTCGTCATTTTAACTAGTTTCGTTGTTTTTTAATTAACATCGATAATAATTAACAATATAATTATAAGACAAAATTTAAATTAATTACTTTTGCTTGTTCATTAATTTTGTTTGTATTTTCTGTACTCTATTTTACATAAAAAAAAAACGAATATTTCAACACAGCACCACGTGTAATGTAATTTTATTCGTAGTTTTGTTTTATTTACTTTGTATAATTAAATCTTGATGAAATTAGTACGTTTTTCGTACATCACCTTTAATTTAGTAACCAATGGCGTAATTTCTCAAATACCAACCTGACAAAATTCGGGCTAATTAAAGGACGCCGATCATTTCAGAATTTGAGAATGAAATATAAAAAAATCGCTTACCGTCAGAGACATATTCGGCATGCGCTTCCTTCTCTTGGACAAATAGATCACAGAAATGGTCCCCGACTTGTTTAAGAATGAATCTGGACGTCTCCAGATCCAAATCCTGTGGCGGCGCTTCGGGGTTGGGCAACCATAACCTCAAATCGTCCTAAACCTTCGATTAACAATCGGAAAAATCACTCAATTCCTCACTCACCTCTAACGCATCTTTGTGCGGATCGGAGAATCCTGCAATTGCTAATTGTCCATTTTTCGTATACCTCAACCTCCTAAAGGCATAAAACCGGCAAAAAATATTGGGCATATTCTTCGACCTTTGATTCGGCGTCCATCTACACTCCCGACACTTGGCCAACTTGGGCGCAACCTCGAAACACGGACCGTCTTGTAAAAAACTCTCGCCGGTCTTTTTCAGCTGCCCCACTGGGGGTTTGCGAAAGGGGTCGCGCTGGGGCACCGTCTCATCTTTGGATTTCTTGACGCGCGGCTCCTCGCCTTTATCGTTTTTTGACGACTTGGGTCTTCGTCCCCTTTTCCTCGGCTCTTTATTACCCCCACTTAGCGACTTTTTCGTACTCGCCCCCGAATCGGAGTCTTTCTCACTGCCACTTTCCTTCTCACTATCGGAACCACTTTCACTCACCACCACTGATTGCCCCCCGGGTTTGCGTTTCTTCTCCTCCAAAGGGGGCTTCTTCACGGGGCCCTTTTTCCGCTTCACTTTCGGCGGCTTGCGTTTCGGGGGGGACTTGCGGCCGCGGTCCTGGTCCGAACTCGAGGAGTCGTCGGCTTTGGTCGTGTCCCCATTGAGGGGCTCCTTACTGGGGGTTTTCCTGTTGTTGGGTTTTGGGGCGAAATGTTTCGTTTTGTTGATACTGTTAACGGCCATTGACCCGATTGAGTGAATCGAGTGAACTGGGTTTTCTTTATTGTTGGACGCCATGTTGATTATGGGTAAAGTGACGCAACTTCCGGATCCGGTGACTCCGGTTGTGTCTTCTAAATCTTCTCCGGTGTGTCTTTGAAGCCACGCTTTCTTTAAATGTCGCACTGGATAAGTACTGGATTTTGTGGGGCCTGGACTATTCGATTTTTCTGAATCGAGACAGCTGGGCGCAATTGTTAACTTGACAGGTGTGTTTTGTTCCATTTCCGGTTGATTGGTAGGGGGGTTTGGTGCCGGACTATTACTCGTTGGTTGATTTGCTTCGACACTAGATGGACGCACTGTTTCAACTGTCACACTAATGTCACAACTGTCATTTGAGGTTATTGGAGGTGTTTGATACGCTGCTGTGTTCACTACAGTAGTGATAGTAGTCGCGGCACTTGCAATTAACGGGCTAGGTTCACTAACTCGTGCTAATTGGGGTGTTTGGGGCTCAATTCGTCGTTTCTTCGTCTCGAGACACACCGGTGTGGCTTTACGTTTGGGGCTTACGGAAGGATCGTATTTGGAGACACCCAAATCCAAGGGTTGGGTTTGCACAGTTGGTATGTATCGGGGGGCTGACGCTGCTGTTGGGGGGGAATTCCGCGACGATGTCTTCACTGGGTATCGACTGTGAGCGGGCGGGGGACATGTCAGTGTTGGGGGGTTCTGGGGGTGCGGTGGATGGTATTGCGACATTTGTTGGTAGGGACTCGGTGAGACTGATGAGGATAATGGGGGCTTGGCGGTGAGTTGGATTGGGGTTGAGGGCTCGTGACGGGTCACCGGGGGGCCAGTTGGGGGGCCTGGTTTGCCGTAAATGTGGTGTGGGGCCGGACTGCTCACTTTCGGTTTTGAGTTTGAGACACTTGAGACACTCGCTGATAACGAATAAGCGGAAGTTGTGTTTGATAAGTAGTAGTTTCCTTTACCCCCAGTGGGGTAGATCATTTGAGACTCCCGGTAGCGTAGTTCCGGTGAGGGGTGTTGTTGGGGGTGATGCGGGGACTGTCTTTGATGATGCGGACTGGGTAGTTGATTCGACTGGCGATGGTGTGAAGTCTTGCCCAAATTTTGGGGTTCGAGGTTATGATGGGGGCTGGGGGTGTGGGAGAGATGATGGGGGGACTGGACGGGGCTTCTATACTCGTATAGATTCCCTTTGGGTTGATTTGCTGTCAAATAATGAGTCCCAATTAGTTTGGGACTTGGGGAATGAGCAATGGAGACTCGAGGTTCCAAATGGTGGGAATTCTTCCCTTCGTGTTTCACTATGACGGAATTTTTCATTTCGCTCATTAAAGGCGGAGGATTTGATAACACTTCACGACTATCCATTGTGGATTTCGATACGACGAGAGACTGAGATTTATGATGATCGGATTTGGTCTTTGGTTCGTGAGGGGAGAATAATGGGGAATAAACGGGATATCCGAAAACGTTGACTTCACCTTTCTGGAGTTGAGACGAATGCATTGTTGGAATCTTCTCGGAGGGTTTACTTGTGGGGACACGACTGTGGGCCGGTGGTGGAGGGTACTCAGTCTTTGTGGGGACACTTGGTGGACGTTGACCCTAAAAAACACAAAATTTTTGTAAAAATCAAATCATACAGAGTGACCCAGCGAGTTGAAAAACTCCATTAGTGACCTTTAAATGGAAAAAAATCTATAAAAAAAATTATTTTCTTTAAAAAATAAAATTATTTTCAACTATACAGCGTGTCTCAAAAATAAGTTACAGTTTTTTTTAAATGAAACACCATGTTTCTTAGCATCGATTTTTATGACAATGTTTTTAAAGCTAAACTTTTATTGGTCAATTTTGTGTAGTTTTAAAAATAAGACGGTTTTTTGACGAAAACATGCACTTTTTTGAAATTTATGACACAAAAACTAAGACATCTAGAAATATTTTTTTTACTACCGCAAAGAAGAAGGTACAAGCTATAAGGTTGTAACATTTTTTTAGTGTTTTGCATTTGCAAAGATAAAAAAATGAAGGCGTTTGTTAAAAATTCAATAACTTAAAAAATTTAAATGGAACACCCTATTTATTGTTTTTGCATTTAAAAGATTATTAAATTGTCTTTCTAAAATTATTTACTTTTAGGTGTTTATAATCAATAACTAAAATGATATTTAACGTTAAACATTAAAAAAAAATACTATTGTTTCAGTAGCCAAAAAGTGCACAGTTGCACAAGAGATGGAAGAAATATCACTTAATAATCACATTTGTGTTAAACTGAATCCATTATCCTTTATTTTTACAATAAAATAATTTGAATTTTAGTATTTACAACGAATTTTAAAAACTCTGAAGTGAATAAAGGTGTTTGTAACATTTTTTTTTGCAATATTCTTTTATTGAAAAAGACTTTTAAGTGTTGGTTTCTACTAGGAATGAAATTACCAAATGCTAAAGGCGTTATGTACAACTTGAATAAACAGTGAATAAAGGTGTTAAAATATGTTTAAATAAATAAATAAATAATAATAAATAAATGTTTAAAAAAAGCACAAATAACACGATTTTTACTTAATTCGATTACCTTTCGGCGTATTCTTGACAAAATTTTGCGAAATAATTGCGTTTTTATGAAAAATGCTTAAAACGCTCGAAAAGAGCATAAATTATGTTGTTTTTTATTTGGTATATGTATTAATTTTTTGGTATGTTTTTTAGCAAAAATTAAAGAAAAAAATTTCTTTTAGACTTAAAAACGCAACTAAATGTTTGAAAAATGCAAAAATAACATCATTTTCGAATTAATTATGTGATTTTTCGGCTTATTTTTGCCGAAGTTTTGTGCTTTTGATTGAAAAATCTGCTAAAACGTTTGAAAAAGAAACCAGATGATTTTTCGGCTCAAAAACATGCTTAAACTCTCCAAAGAAGCAAAAATAATTTTAGTTTCGTGATAGTTTATTCATTTATTACCGCATTTTCGATGAAAATTTTCAAAACAATTGCGATTCTGTCTAAAAAAACGTCTTAAAACGGAAAAATAGTATTATTTTTGAACAAATTTTTTAGCACAAAAGTAAAAATAACACTATTTTTGAGTAAATTTTTAATTATGTAAATTTTTAATTGAAAAACGTGCTAAAACGCACAAATAATCATAAAAAAGGTCATTTTCAACCCAATTTGGTAATTTTTCAATTTGTTTTAACAGAATCTTACAAAAAAACGTGATGTAAACAAGCAAAATTCATTATTTTTCACTTAATTTGGTGACTTTTCGGTATATTTTTGTCTAAATATTTCGAGATAATTCCGTCTCTTATTGAAAAATATGGTGTTAATATGGAAAACCGTTTTCGAAAAGTCGATGAACTAGCTTCAAAATTACACCTAGTAAACAAGAAAAAAAAATCTTTTAAATGAGAATGTTAATTTTCGGGACAGCATAAAGTAGACTTTTTTATATTATGTCGTTAGAATTTCATTTATTAATGTTGTGTTAAACTTGAAATATTTTTAGAAAGCAATAGTTATCACAAAGTTTATATTAGAAAATAAAGCTAACACAATCAATTTTTTAATAATATAAACTAATGCATTATAGTGGATGAAGGGGTCACGTAAATTTACATTTGATCGTTAAAAAATCTATAAAAAAAACATAATTGTTAAGTGTTAAATATCTTTTCATTTATCAATACTAGACATTAAAAGTTTATTTTATTAGATAGACAATTTATCACTCTATTAGATGCAAAAATAAAAAAATAACACCCTATTTTTTTATTTAATTATTTAAGTTATTTAACTTTTAACAACTTGTTAATTTATTAATCTTTACAAATGCAAAACACAAAAAAATTGCTACAGCTTTAAATTCTGTACTTTCTTCTTTGCAGAAGTAAGAAAAAAATTGTTCTAGCTGTCTGTTTTTGTGTAATAAATTTTTAAAAATTGCAATTTTCGTCAAAAAAAAAACGTCTTATTTTTAAAACTAAGCGAAATCGACTATTAAAAGTTGAATAAATGTCCTATTTAATTTTACCAATATCTTCCCGACCACGAGATGTAATAATCAAATTCATTACTCACCGTCGTGTAATACGCTCTGTGATCTCGTTCCGACCTCACAGCCAAGTGTCTCGTATCTCCCCTTTGGTGGATTTCCTGTTCTACACGTTTCCTCTCATCTTCACTGTTCGGTCTTGGTTGTGGCGGTCGTCCACCTATGGGATTCCAATGATCCCTCTGCAAATTTTCAAAATTTTCTAATTCAAGTAAATCACTAATTAAAAAAAAGTACCTTTTGAGCTTGCCGTAACGACTTTTCAAAATGATTTTTAAGGGCTTGCTCTTGACGTTCTTTCTCTTCACGATCTCGTTCTTGTTTCTCACGATCTCTCTCGGCTTTCTCGCGTTCCTGACGCTCACGCTCTAATCGTTCCTTTTCTTTCTGTTTCTCCAATTCACGCACTTCCTGATTCTGTCTCTCCCTGAATAAACAAACACTTTTTACCACCAATAACTTAACAGTTGTAATTGGCATAAAGTTGAATAAAATCTGTTATTTAACCTACTTGTCCAAAGATGGATGTAAATTATTTATATTTTTTGCAACGCTTTATTGAGTTAAAAGCAAAGCGAGGTAATCTCGGACAAAAATAAATTAATAAGGTTGCGTAACGTTTTGTTTTGTGTTTTCTAAACGCAAGCTTAGAGACTTTCTCAATGTACGTTTTTTATCCAAACTAATTAAAAAGACTAGAWTATGTTTWTCCAAGTTTTTACTTGTTTTTGGAAAATAGGAAAATAAACACAAATAAATCTCTTTTTTTAGAGTTTTTCTGGTCAACTGTCTATTGTAATACAATTTTTTTTATTTTAGCATTTCTTTAAGATTTTTTTTACAAATCTGGAGATTTTTTTAAACCGATATTTCTGGATAGTATTTCAGTCCCCCAATTGTCTTTTACAGCCCGACAAGAGTTTTTCAAGAGGCATACAACCAAAAGATGGCGTCTCACGAAAATTACAGATTTCTATACTTTCTTTTAAATCTTGTTGAGATATTTCAAACCTATTCTGAGGAATGTTAGAATGTTGTAAATTGTTACATTATTTAGAATTTTTAGTTAAATATAATGAAATTTATTTTCTGATACGTTTATATAACTTCGTTAGATCTTACCACCTATGTTTATTCTCTTAAGTCTGTTACGATTTATTCACTAGAATGTGTTTGATACGAGTTTTAATTTGTTTTCTTTTAAAGAATTTTTTTTTTTTGATTTAAAGTATATTATTTTTAATTTTAGCAAAAACGAGTCTGAAACTTGTACATTTGAAGATGGTCAAATAAGAATGCTGAAGGTTCAAATTGAACCAAGAAATTGAAAAATGAAAACGTCCAGTAGCAAAAATTTGGTGAATATTTTATAGCAAAGTTTTTTGGGAATTGATAAAACCGATTCCGTATTAATTACCTAAAAAAATCGTATAAACGTTACTATTTTAAATTTTTACTTTACACTGATACGTAGCAGAGACGTACTAACCTAAAATTCCCTTTTTTAATAGTCTAAGAAGTCGGTTAAAAAAATTAAGAATTGCAAACTTGCATGGATCAGTAAGAAATGTTTTTGTGAAGAAGTGAACAAGTTCAAACATAAAATCGTTCTTTAGAATAGAATAAAAATACTCAAGAGGCTAACAGCAAAGCAAAAAAAAGCATAATTATAAAATGAAATCATTTTATAATAATGTGTTTCCACCTGAAATTTCATACAAAAAGACGTAAAAAGACAGGAGACGAAAATAATAAAAAAATCTTCTAATAGATAAATCAAAAAGACTTGAAATTGAGTTTCAAAACGGTTACGTTTTTATTCAAATTAATCATTTTTATAGCGTTTAATTCTTTTTAAGAAATTATTATAAAAATGTTTGGTTTTTAGGCACAGCTACATTAAAAAAGAAACGGGAAATGTCAAAAAAATTTAGTTTTTTTTCTCAATTTTCCCATGCATTATTAAAAATGGGTTAAAATATTTTGACGGTATGTCAATTAAAAAATAAATAGGTTATATTTGAACAAATTATATTTTCGAATTAGTAACAAACTGAACAACTATTAAGTTGTTTTTTACATTTGGAGAAATTTCATTTCCCGTTTTTTTTTTTTTTTAATGTAGCTGTAATTAGTGTGTGCTATTTCATTGGCGACACAAGAGGTCCAGAAAAAATATACAAAATAAAAAATATTTTTTTTATGAAATGTTAAAACTGTTTATTTATTGCTCACGCCTTTTCATATTTCAACTTCAGGTTTTTTCAGTATTGATGGTTGGAAAATTCGTGTTTAATTAATTAAAAATTGCTTAATAGATTATTACTTCTTTATTTGAAAATTGTAAGAAAAAAAGTCTACATGTGTTATTTGGTTATTAAAAAATTATATCTATTTACAAATGGCTGGCTTTTTACAACATCTCGTGTCTTGTATGATGTTGCCAAATTCAGGCTAATTTATGAAAATTTTCAAACTTACTAAAAAAACTTTAATTCTCAAAGCAAAAAGACTTCAAAAGTTTTAGATTTGCCAGAGCAAAAGACTGTAAGCATACAAAATTTTTCTTGGCCCAATAAAGTGTTGCTTGTGTCGGAATTGAAAGCATTTAAATTTGCCGCGAATTAATAATGTGATTTTTCGGCTTATTTTTGCCGAAGTTTTGTGTTTTTGATTGAAAAATCGGCTAAAACGTTTGGAAAAGCAACTAGATGATTTTTCGGCTCAAAAACATGCTTAAACTCTCCAAAAAAGCAAAAATAATTTTAGTTTCGTGATAATTTATTCATTTTTTACCTCATTTTCGATGAAAATTTTCAACATAATTGCGATTCTGACTGAAAAACGCCCTAAAACTGAAAAATAGTATTATTCTTGAACCAATTTTTTAGCGCAATCTAAAAAACTAAAAACACCATTTAGAGTAAATTTAGCGATTTGTGACGAAATAATTTTGTAAAATTTTAATTGAAAAACGTGCTAAAACGAAAATCATAAAAAAAGGTCATTTTCAACCCAATTTGGTAATTTTTCAATGTTTTAACAGAATCTTACAAAAAAACGTGATGTAAACAAGCAAAACCAAGAAGTCCAGAAAAAAATATACAAAATAAAAAATATTTTTTTTAGAAAAAAAACTATTTATTTATTGCTCACGCCTTTTCATATTTCAACTTCAGGTTTTTTCAGTACTGATGGTTGGAAAATTCGTGCGTTTAATTAATTAAAAATTGCTTTAACAGATTATTACTTCTTTATTTGAAAATTTAAGAAAAAAGTGTTATTTCGTGTCTTGTATGATGTTGCCAAATTCAGGCTAATTTATTAAAATTTTCAAACTTATAAAAACACTACTAAGGAAACTTTAATTCTCAAAGCAAAGAGACTTAAAATTCTGTTCTGCTCAAATAAAATGTTCAAAAGTTTTAGATTTGTCAGAGCAAAAGTCTGTAAACATACAAAATTTTTCTTGSCCCAATAAAGTGTTGCTTGTGTCAGAATTGTGAAAATTCTAATAAAGCATTTAAATTTGCCGCAAATTTTAGTTTATAGTACAACCAAGACGCGCTAGAATCGCAAATTTGAAGCCAAAAGAATTGTGTTAGGTAGTTGATTCTCTAGTCCATTTTTTTTAAACAATTGTCAATGTCAAAATTCCCTCAAAGACCAGACTGTACTACCCTAAAATCGTTTTTTCGTAACAGCTGTTTATTAAAATCTCCCTAGATTATGTTTAGTAATTTTCAAATGTCAGAAAAGTAGTTTCAGGTGGAAGCAAATTTCTTACCAAAAGACAAGAAATAAAGACGATAAGGACACGGAAAAATGCAACTTCTAACCGGGAAAAATTTATTTAATGGGTAATTTAAATTTTTACTCATTTTCAGAATCTGATTCAAAATTTTCAAATCACCAATCGTCTTCAGAATCTGATTCTGGAGAAAGTTGAATCATTATTGGAGGAATAAAATAAAATACTGGATTAGTCTTTTTTTTGGAGTTTTTACACAAGCA